GCAGGACTCTTATCAAACATTTGATGTTTGGGGCAGGTCGGACATTGTCTATCTGAATTATAACAACTTCCTATTTCATGGCAAAACATCAATGTTTGTCAGGCCGCCACGGACACGCCCTTCAACGAAAACTCAAGATCTTCGCAATTAAACATCACAGAGGGCAAAAACGGCACAAAACTTGCTGAGAAAATTAAAAATAACAGACTTCCTGTTGGGTTTCGGACTTCGTACCGGGGCACTTTTTGTAGGTATTGGTATGTTACAGATGTCTACCGAATTTTGTACATGTATGTGAAACATAGCTCGAGGGGCACTTTGTTGAAATTTTATAGGTGGCGCTATTGAGCCATTTTGCCACACCCACTTCTTAAACCCAAATCAGATATCACATTTTCGCCTCTTCTGGCGTGTGTGCAAAGTTTCATGATTTTTCGAGCATGTTTAGGCCCTAAAAAATGCGATTTCCAATAAGGTCCTTGCACCACCGGTGCTTAGGCCCTAAAAACTATTTTTTTTGTAAGCTATTGATTTACGGAAGAAAAAAAAACTAAATAATAGTACTTCACCACTTTGAACTCATGGAAACAATTTCTTAATGACAGATCCTGCTCTAATTTGCATATACAAGCGAGTCCTGTTGCATAATACTTTTTTCTCTCTTATCCATGATCACAGGCTCAACTTTAATCTTCTGTTATTATACCAAACATCTTATGTTGTGGTTCCATAGAGGTGAGATATATAGATTGTAACCATCTTTGTCTCATGTGACATGTAAAAATAAGTCATACAAAGGACTGTGATACTCCGGCACACATATGTAAAATAAAAGTCGTATTATGTTTGAGGAGCAATCTCGATTCTACACATATATGTTTGCAGCTCTCTTCACAAAGGAAGTCAACAGTAAGACCACTAATCCTTTGTGAAAATACCATGAGTTGCATTTGTCCCTCAGGCTCCGATACGAGACATAATTTGAGTAGACTTTTCTATATGTCCTTTTGTCAAGTTCTTCTTGAAATGAAAGGCTATATGACACCCTAATACTGTTTCCCCCCCTAATTACTATAGAAATGAATGGTTGTGCACCTGTTGAGCAACCATAGATTGTTTCCTATACATAGATTGTTTCCTATACTTAATGCTGTGCTGTGCACAAAGAAAAGAATCAAAGAATCCTAATGCACAGTGTCAGATCTGTAATAACCACATCAACAGGATTAGAGTCACTGAAGGATTAGTTGTATGGTCAAGCATTATATACCAGAAGGCTATCTGTAAGACATTAATTATAGCTGATCAAGAAGTAAATAGAAATTAACTGCTTCTGAGTATTCAAATTCTGACAAGCATCACACAATAAGTTCAAGCATTTTTATTATCACATTTGTAAGTTTTATGGACCACCTTTATGATACTTCAATGGCGCTTTTGTATATTTTGCTTTGCAGAGCTTTAGTCTTCATTCATTGTAATTGCCTCGATTAGAAAGACTAGCAGAGTCTTCAAATTTGTATTTTTTGGATGAACTATTCCACCTGAAATTTCATGCAAGTTTTTGTGCTATGCTATATACAGGGTTGCTCCACTGGCACTCACACAAACATAAATGAATGGATGCCACTGGCAAATTATAAGTGTGCCAGTGGAACATTAAGAGTGTTGCTCTTTGCCCTGATTTATGTTTGATATCTAAAGAGTAGAATTGGAGTCATCAGTTCTTTGAAAGTTTATTCTCAATAATACCGGCTGCGCTGCGTGTATGATTGTGCTGTAACATAATTTTAAAGAAAAGTTATTGCTCTATGCATGACTTATGTATTTTAATATGGTAAGGGGAGTAATGGCAGTTTTCAGACTTGTTCCATCTTGTGAAAAGTGGGCAGGCATTTATTTAGGCCCAATAAAATAATGACGCACAGCTACTTAGTAACCTACACTGAATTAGCAGCTCATCTTCACCAAAATGAAGTCATCTCTTACCTTAAGCTAATCTCACCTCAATGAAGTCACCAGTGTTTCTCACTGATCCTAAAGTGATTTAACCCAGTAAAGCCTGATATGTAAATAATGGAAATGGAACAGTTTATTAAACCTTTAGACAAAAAAGTTTGCAAATGTGTTTTTTGAGTATCGTACTTGATACATCAGGCTTTGATGGCTTAACATAGGAAAATATGGAGCTAATACTCAAGGAGGAAGAAAACAACTCTCTTATTTAGAAGCCCAAACGGAAAAAAAACTCAAATATGCAATTTGGTGCAATTGCTTATATTTATGGTCAGAAAGTAAGATGATATTCTAATATTTTGAATTGTAAATCTTTGAGATTTTTTTATAATGGTGTTGCAGGATGCTTAAGATAAATACGTATAAATATCAGTTGTCACTCCAAATTATCAGTTGTGCCTCCCAATAATATTTCTTAGTAAGATGATATTTAAATGCTTAGTTTTCCAGTTAAAGCTCTGTAGTTTTTATTGTGGGGCAAAACATATAATGCAATGGAATACAATGATTGAGAGATACAATAAATGTTCTTCAAAAGCCTGATGTGTCATATTTTATATATTTTAACATGATTTTTCTAAAACATGATGCATGGATAATCAAGTAAACTTAAGTTGCTTCAGTCCAGTAAATGTTAAATCTTAAAACTTTACTAACAATATAAAATGTATTCTTATATACATTTTAAGAAATCAGTAGAGATTTCACAGCAAAAAGAAACATGTGCCATTAGAATTTCAAATTATTTTTGTTGTTATACTACAAGGCTTTCCAACTGCTAAAAACTATAAACTATTAATCAGATGCAGAAGGCATGTAGCAGATTGTATACAACAGGTTTTTCAGCAAAGTTTTGATGATGTTGATAATTAAGAGGCCTTATAAATTTTCATATTATATACAAGAAGCTTTATAGGGTTAAAGATGTGATGGCACAACGGCCATCATGACATCTGAAGTTGACGTAGTTGCTAGGCCAGGAAATTTCTTGTGGACATTACCAGTCTTCTGTGGCCCGTTCCCTGCATCGCTCCAGCATCAAGTAGACGAGCAGGCAGCTATAAATCAAAGGCTTCTCTTGAATTCCAGGTGTGCACAGGTGCGCCCAAAGTGGCCCATAAAAGCGCATGTTAGCTGGGGAAGTCTCAGTTCACAACCATCACCCTGCTAGACAGGCGTTGACGTTAAACGATGAATGATTTGGCAGCGAAACAGCACAGTTTATAGGAAAACATTGCGGGAATCTTAATTAGCCTTTCAATGATAGCCTCTTGGCATTAAAAGTTGCTGGCAGACAGCATGATATTAAACCCAAGTGCAGTCAGATTGAGGGAAAGGTACATAGTCAACGTTCTGCCATCATGCCGAACACCTGGCTTACAGTTTCTCGCAATGCACCCTAACAGGTGGCTAACACGCTCAACTGCAGCACGAACGCATTGCGTAAAAGTTGATATTTTGATCCCTGCACATCTGAAATTAAGCAGGCATGATAACATAATGGGGGGGGAGGGGCGACACGTTGGCGCAATGACAAGAAAACTCCACTCTGAGACTAAAGTTTTCACAGAGAGTTTCTGTTAATTAAATGGCTTCATTGTGAAGGGAAAGCGAAGGCGTAACGAACGGAGGCAACTAGATGTGGAATTTGTCTCCCCTTAATTGTTCTTCTAACATTTCTTGTCTCCTCCATCTACAAGTGTTAAGCTCTCCGACGTCATGCCATTCAGAATGTGGAAAAGAAGCAGGAGCCTGAGCCAAAGAGAGTAACATCCAAAAGGTTTTTCAAACCCACACAATATTGTGATTCAGCTCATGGTGACTGGGTGTTGATGTTACTTTAACTAAGGCTGTTTGGCCAGCTGCCTTTTCACGCTGCTGCCTATTGATGAGTTTTCATCCGATTCTCAAAGGAGCGTTTTGTGGCGATTATTCAAGGGGTGATGCTAAGATCTTTTCTAACTTTTGGATTGAAATTCCTCTTGACATCATCCTTCACAATGGCAAAGCCTCTCTTTTTGCCATCCCTATCGCCTTTAGGGGGGGACAAAATAAATAGCATCCAAAAGTTAGCTGGATTTTGCATAGTTAACATTTCGCTAATGGGCAGGCCTGCTTCTCAGGGCGACCGGACAGCATTTTTGGGGGCCACAGAGGCGTTGTTGTGGTGATGGCGCTGGGAAGTGAATGAAGCAGATGTCAGAGTAATCCATCACCCCTCTTACCCCCCTTCTATCGGCCCATTGCTGTGACACCCTCCTCGCTGCTACTCATCAATTAAAGCTCTACACCAGCCCTACCATTAACATGCAAGTACTTTCGTTAGCTTCCTCCCTGCCCTGCGGTCATCCATGTAATAAAAAATGTCAGAACCAGTAGTCGGCCATAAGTTAAGTGCAATGTATGTTTTGCCACTTGCTACTGCTTTACTGATTTGAGGGACTGTCAAGCCTAGTGATGACTCTGTTTGGTTGTAAGATGTAAGGCTGAGAGATAGTATGGGAAATGTGACGATTCTGACAAACAGGTCAGTTTTTATTTGACTAACTAGAGTTAAACCTGTAAAATAAATAAAAAGTATGCCTTGGAAACTGTTGCGTCCCCCTTAAAAATAAAAAAAATGGTAGAAGCCAAGGAAATATTTATTAACACTGTTGGAAACATGATGACACAATAATGAAGTACAATTAATTTGGCAAAACATCTGTTGAAATCACAGATTCTTGTAAAATAATTATTACATCAAGGCCATCCAGCTCTTAAGCTCTTGACAAAAAGCCAAGCTCAAATTCAGATGTTCTTTGGTAAAAACCCTCAGTCATTAATTTTTCTCAGTACCAGAGAGTTTTGCCCCAGGATTATTTAATAACAGTTTCCCTTACTGATCCCACATCCAGGACCTTTGTCATGAAAATGCTATGTTTGAAAGTTTTCATGTTCGAACGCCAGTATGATCGTATTGTTATATGCAGTCTTTTTTTTCCTCATTATTACGTACTTGGCAACTACATCACCATGAGTGATACTTCATTGAGATGTAGATTACAATAAACTGCTCAAGCTGGTACCGTGACACAATCACACTGTTTCTAGCTTATCTCTCTAATTTCTGTCCATCTAAAGGACATCGGTAGTGGGTTTTTCCTTTACACAAAATAAATAAAATATAAAAATAATCTCTTACAAAATATATGTCAACACAGGGACAATCTGTCTGCACAACCACATCTGGTCACAACACACAAAATACTACTAGTACTAACTACAGTTGCAGAACAAAACAAAACTAGCAGCAAAAAGTGTTATATTACCTGTAATATATAACATTAATAGAACTGGTTATCTGATCTCAACATTTCACATCAGTAGCAGGTGGGGCATCTGTATTGAGGCTATTCCATTTGACAAGTGAATTAATTACTGATTCTCTCTCTTTCTCTTTCTCTTTCCAACAGAGCAAATATTAGCAAAAATCGAGGGAAGCTTGTGGCCTCATTAGCATAAAGCTTTGTGTCAAATGAGGTCTCAAAGTTTAAGTGGGTAGAATTTAGATCCCATTTAAATTTGCTTATTTTAATTGGACTATTACAATTTTAAGACAAATGTTCTTGTGGACCAATGTTAAAAACAGAGTTATTCACTTTGGAAGGAATGAGCCTTCAAACACGATGCCCAATTCCAGTGTGTAATTGTACATAGGAATATATGTGCAAGGGTTGACACTTAAGGAGATGGGAAAATAGAAGCAAAAAGCCTTACAATGATACATTAAAGACAGTAGAGTCTCCTCTTTCAGAGACTTGTAATTACACCTTGAGTGCAGTGCACTTGTTTTTGTATTGTGCATTGTTGTTGGTTCATCCTTAAGCTAAAGCACATGATGTACAGTGTAAAAGTTGGTCAGTTTATTTCTATCCAAAACACACAATATTAAACAGGAGAAGAGCTAAATCCAAGTTAGTAAACACAATGAGAAAAATCAGTAGTTTCCTTATTAAATAAATTAACATTAGCCATTTCTAAATAAAAAGTTAAATATCACTGTTGTGTCCATTTACAGTTATTTATGTTGTAAGATTTGTTATATCAATCACTCAGGCCAAATAAGTTCCTCAGAAATACCTTCTGTGCTGTCTACTGAGCAGAACACCCTCAATAATCACACCCCACATCTTTCTCACGGTCTACAGATCAAGCCTTTGCAGGCTACTTCGCTCTGTTGCTCAGTACTGGAACAGAAAGATGTCTACTGGTACCAACACCGAAGCCCTCATCAGAACTCTGGAGCAAAGCTGCATGCATTGCAAACAATTACTCCGTCTAGACTCCACCAGACCCACGATTTCCAGTGCAAATGGCTCTTTCCTCTCAATACCTGGAACCCATAGCAGTGGCCATCCGGTTGTGTCACTTGTAGACCCTCTACCGCACTAGTCACAGGTGTGTATCAATTCCCCAGCAAAAAATATTTCACTTGCACGTGTACACTTCTGTCCGTTCACTACAGGTGTTGCACTTGACGTAGCAACACCAAAGAAACTTGCAGTTGCACTGCCACACGCGTGAGTACTGGTGTGTATTATATCCTCGACCGCAACACATGAGGTCGCAGCCATTGGCCTGCTGTGCAGTCTTGTTGCAGATCCTGCCCTGGGTTCCCATGCTACCCGTCATGGGATCTGCCTCGCAATAGTTGGGCGACTTCTCGATGTACACCAAATCCGTGTCCATGGGCTTCCGGTACGAGTAAGGCTTTTTAACCTTCAGAAATGTAGGTCTCTTGTTCCGACTGGCTCGGACTGGTTCCACATGTACAGCGTGGTTATACTTCTCCTTGAGGATGTAACCCAACTGCCGGAATTTTGGGAGAGTGGTCCAGCAAGTCTTGGTGGTGCAGGATCCAGATACACCGTGACATTTACACTCTAAACGCATGCTCTTCTCCAAGACCTGAAGTGGGAGGAAAAATCAACAAGTCAATACCTTTGGGATTGTTTAGGCACCTAGGTTCCTTTTAGGAATCTTAGCCTAAGGTAATTATGAAAGTAGACTGTTTGATGACTCATTGTTGATTTACTTAGTCTAACTGGTGACAAATTTGAAGTGTGCAATCATCCATTACAAAAGATAGAATTACTGATGCTAAGCGGAGAATGTATGAGGAAGGAAAAGATCTTGTTCACGAAAAGGTATGTGGTAGTTTTGGTCAAAAAACATGTTTAAACATTTTGCATATATTCACATCATCTACAAGGCATATTCCAGCAAACCAAGATCTGGATAGACTAACAATACAGTGGGGATTAGTGAAATCACCCTCGGTGGCATACAGTTTCTGGGAATGGTTTTACAGGTTGAGACAAAGGTTTTTTAACATTCCGATTTGAAGAATGCAAGGATTGTTAAACTTACAGTGCTAGACTACCTCATTCCTCTCGCTGCGTAGAGAGCGGGCCTGCAAACCACAGCTTGTGTTCACAGGCTCTCTGACTACTTGTAGGAAACAGTTTCATTTGTGTACACAACACACGCCACAAATTGTTGCAAGGGGCAAACTATCAGAGGTTGTCTGTAGGAGTCTCTTGTCTTGTATAAGCAATAGAGCGGAATCTGCACAGGATATGATATAAACACTGACTGAACGATGATCGCAGAGTTCCTACAACAATCAGCCTGTGTGTAGTGTACACAGATAAAGCTCAGGAGTCAGGTTTCAGGTGCCTGTGTGCCTCCCCCTTGTTACACCTATGCACGTAAAACCTCACAGGTAAAAACAAAACATTTTGAGCTGCAGTGTAACTGAGGGATGCTGTATCATTTCTTGTCCTGTAGTTAATTTGCATACAAACTAATGTTAAATGTTAATGCATTTCACATACCTTAGCTGTAGGCTTAGAAATGCACAGAAAAAACATAGGTTAGCTCAGAATAGATGAATGAATGGGCAAATGTAAGCAGAACTCAGTGAAGCAGAGTGCCTGTTTAGATATGGAAGATATCCGAGGGGTCTGATTGGCATCAGTGGATTGCCTGTTCAGGGCGGCGTAATCTTTGGTTTGGTTGGTTAATGTGTCTTTTCTCTCCCTCTCTTTCTCTTCCTTTCACTCTTTTTCACTTTTGCTGTGGGTGGGAGAGGCTTTACCTTGCATTTTAATAATTTTTTTTCCTCCCTCTCAGACTTTCAGGAGTCTTTTTGGCAATTGTCTGCAATCTAGGATGCATATCGAGCTTAGTATGTTCATGCTGCTGATTCCTGATAAACAGTAAGTCTGAGGAAAAGTTTACAAAGGAAAAGTCCATGTGTCTTAAGTGAGGCCACACCCCTTCCATTTTCCCATTAACCAATCACAATCATGTGTTTGGCATGTTGATGCCATGACCTTAGTTTCATTGAGAACTGCTCAATGAAAATTGCAAAATTGCATGAATTTGTGAATTGTCAATTCACAGGACAGATTATACTTGCTATTAAGAGAGGATTGGTGCTTGTGAGACACCAGATACCAGAAGAGATTTATGAAAAAAGTTACAAAAGGTTACTGGTCAGGATTATGGTTTTAAAGCACAAAACAATCTCTGTCCAGAGTGCTGAAACATCACACTCTTCAGATTGGCACTGAATGACAAATAGCTTATGAAGATCAGTCAAACTGCCTGGGCATTCTGGGTATGCATTTTAATGTTATTTTTACAAATACACAAGAAATCTTTTTGTCTTCTTTGACTATAAAATTCAGTAGTATCTTTATTGTCTTACCGACTGATCCCAAATCCACTAGTGAATCACTGTCGCTTTTAAATGGTATCACAATTATGAAAATTTGTTTTGCCATAATCACAAATAGCTGGTCAAGTGCATGCCAAAACTAAATGCATTGCATTGCCTTGCTACACCTTGTTATTGTTAATCTACTACCCACTCCAAAGCAGAGAAAATTCATTTAACAGCCCTGAAGGGCAGTGGTTCTCAACATTGGCCCTTGAGGTCCTCTTTCCTGCAAAGGTTTAGCCCCAACTTTGATCAAACCTGCCTGCCTGTAACTAGTGATCCTGAAGACCTCGATTAGCTTGTTCAGGTGTGTTTGATTAGGGTTGTAGCTAAAATCTTCAAGAAAATGGACCTCAAGTGCCAGATTTGAGAACCCCTGCTGTAGGACTTACAAGAAACTCCTGCCAATCCTGCTCCTGGAGGGCTATGTTCCAGCAGAGTTTAGCTCTAGCCCCAGTCAAACAACCTGGACCAGCTAACCAATGTCTTGAGGATCACTAAAAACCTTCCAGGCAGGTGTGTTGGAGCTAAACCCTGCAGGAAAGTTGCCCTCCAGGAGCAGGTTTGGACAATCCTGGCCAAATTATGTTTTTATGCATGACATGGTACTTCTTAAAAAGACATGCAAACTATGCCACATACCTTGCGTCCCACTTCATTGTTATGAAGGTTCATGAGTGTCCTGGCATTCTGCCTGATCTCCCGTGCATCTATAAACACCTTTGAGAAGCTCAGACCATAGCGAATATCAGCTGAACATCCTCCCCACTTCCAGCCCTCCTCTTGGTTGTAGAAGCCCTGCTTCTCCTTGTCACAACCACAGCCGCTCAGCGTACCCTGAGTGCAGGCCGCTGTGATGGCATGGGCGACCCCGGCAGCGATAATGGCGTAGGTGAAGGCTGCTTCCTTACTTCCTGGATTCAAAGGAACATTCTCCGTCAGTACTGCTGACAACAAGATCCAGCAGAGGCAGTTACCTACATACCTGACATATCTTGACACTCATAGCAATAAGGAAATGTGTTAGTTGAGTCAAGTGTAGTTCATTTATCATGCACATTTCACACTGATTAACAGTATGCAGTCTCTGGTAGATGGTGTGGTGGCTTACTGAGAAAAACATGATATAAAAATGATCTAGGACCCGACATAGGCAAAACAAAAACAGATCACATACCTGTGATTACTCAAAACACAAATAATTGTCCTTCAGTTGTCAGAGAGGAAACAGAAAGACAAATAACTGTTTGCACACAGATGAGCAAAGGAAGGAACGGTCCATCTCTTTAATAAGCACAAAGGACAAGGGTTTATTTCAGAGACAATAGAATGGTAGAGATAGAGGGTATGTGTTTAGACTCTAGCCTGGCCACTGTCCCAGCTTCCGTCAGAACGAGGGATCCACCCTGTGGAGATGAACTCCTCAGGCACGCAGTGCCTCCCTGGCCAGAGCACTGCTATAATTGATTGCCACTGTTAAACAGGGCACTTCCAGGTTAATGGTGTATTTCATTTATAAGGACAAAGATAGGTCTGAAGTCCTGCGAAGAGTTATTTCAGGGACTTTTTTGTAAGGTGACATCAAGCAACAAATAACATTCCAAGAGTTCCAAGCTTCCAATTTTCACACTATGTAAGTTGCCTCGGATAAAAGCATTCGCCAAATATAAAAGCTAAAACAATAAGAGACCTAGCACTGCATGGAAAATCCCTTAAAAATATGATGCATTCATTGTTGCTCAGTTATGTTAACATTCCCGGAAATGTACATATCTTTTTCTGGATTAATGAGTCATTATGTATTGACTGTCCTAAGAATCATTTACACACCTGAACCGAAGAAACACTTTAAAAAGTTATAGGCCTCATAAGGATTGATGTTGTGAGTTATTACAATTAATATATTTTCTATCTTTTGATAATTTCATGGCAAGAAGTGAAAAGCACACACACATATGTCAGACTGTTAACAGACCGGCTCAGCAATTCAGGAATTTTCACCTTCAAGCAATCAAGAGCGGCAGCAACAGTCTTCAGTGGTTTCCTGAAACTAACATTGGTATGTGTTGACCTGCTAATGATAAACATCTTGGAACTCTGCCCATGCAATTTAACAAAGGCCAGTTTGGGGCATCAATAATGTGGAGATTTTTATGAGTTGTTTGGGCTTGACGCCAAAGGAGTAGGTATGTATCCTGAAGAAAAAGCAAATGAAGACTGTATTGATGCAAAATCTTAAAATTCTCATCAATACCAGAGTAGAATGCTCCTTGTCTTTATATATCACTCGAGCTATGTTTACTTAAATCAAGATATTCTGAACACAAACACAGCAGATAAGACTTCCATAAAACATGTGTGTTTTGACATGGGTGTCATTTATTTTCAAGAGAAATCTGAATCAGTGGCATTGCATGATTCTGTGCGAGATGCCTCTTGCCAAAACTGTAAATGCAAGAGGTTAATTTATAAACCTCATACAATGTACTTGTCTGGACTTGAGGCATTAATGCTGTTGAAGGAAAACTATTTTTGAGCATACCAGAGGGTGGTTAAGTCAGAGAAGATTTAGGAGGGTTGCTCTCAAGCAACATAAAGTAACACAAGCACAAAGATTGTACGCCTTTCGCATATCTGTCCAACTGCTGATTTCCAGCAAGCTATATTTCAATTGGAACTTCATTCACATATATGATAAAAAGGTGAACGGGTCCATGGGTAGTGGAGACGGCAAAAGTGCACCTATAAGCGGAATCTATTGCCGTGTGTGCCAAATGTCGACCTTGGTACCAGGCCCTGAAAATTACTGCACATTACTCAACAACATTTTTTTTTTTTTTTTGAGTACGCAAGCCCCTCCCCACAGGATGAACTACCTCTTTTCATCTTCTAACTTCTGCTACTATGAGCATGACTGGTCATATACCCACTGAAACCAATCCCGTTTGAACGGTTGTCCACTTTATTTAATCCTCCCTATACCGACCATAGACAAAAAGAGTCTGGGTAAATAAAGCAGTTGGGCCACTTCAGAAATGGAGACCACGGTCTGTCACTCTAGGTCAGCATCAGCTCTGAGGCGCTTAGATGAGAGGGCACACAACACAAGACCCATAGCAGCTGTCCAAGCAGACAGTATTAAATAATATAATCAGCACCCACAACAGATCCAGGCTGCCATTCAAGTGTAAACGGCGAGTGTGTGCAGCTCCAGAATGAGATGGAAAGAGACGAAAACCTGTGCTTTTTTTCAGGTGGCGCTTGTCTTTGATGCAGAGGGATAAAATATAGCTTCACCTTCAGCGATAGATACAAGTCTCTACAGATCTAATCTTCTCCCCTGGGCCTCAACCACACCATCGCAACACTGACTGGATCCTAAACGTGTGCGGCTAAAAGAAAGAGAAGAAAGTTTAGAAAAAGTAGTTTATTTCCGGCAGAGTTTGGATATTTGAGCATCGAAATTCCCTGCAGCCACAGGAAAAAACACGCAATAATGCCACCTCCTATTTGCTAGTAGGGTCTGAAACTAAAGCAAAGTCCTTCACACCACCATTCATCAATGTGTCGCAGGCTCAATAGCACTGAAGGACTCCTTAACAGGCCTAAGTTTGCCTTAGGAAAATGGATAACATTACCCCGAGTGAAAAACTCACTTAATTACTTATGCTTTGTCTCTCTAAGGTGACATATTGTTACATTTCTTCACAATACTGTACTTTCTTTTGGTCTACTATTCAACCACTGTAACTTATACCCGTGGTAAAGTGAAAACCCTGACTGCCAAATCATTAAAATCTACAGATAAGACAGGACGACTAGAAAAAGAGGTCTTTTGAGAGGGTGGTAATTCACAGTATACATGTGGTAACAAAACTGAGCACTAAAGCACTTTGGGATACAAACCAATATATGAATGTCTTATGTATTATAACACATAGCATATTTAAACATTGTTCTTAGGGACTTCTCATTAATAAACAACAGAAAAAGAAGAAAAAATAGATATTCTCATGCTGCAAAACTATTGTTTTCTTAGAAAAAAATATATGTAGCCTATTGTAATTTTTTTTTTTTTCATTTAAGCACCTCGAAAAAAAATCCAGAATTAAATAAAAAAATTGAAAACATGTTCATAATTCAAATTATAATTTTTGCATGAACTGCATTTTTTCTTTTGAAATAATTGAATAAATCAGGGCAAATAAAATGACTCATAAATGTGAAGCATTATCACATTTTAGACACAAAAAATAACCACTGGTCTTGTAGATCAGAACTGTGCATTTCACTTATTGCTTGATATATAGTCACAGTATTTTACCAAATTTGATCAAAGTGTCACAATGGCGGTAAAACTGTTCCCTTAATAATTAAATGCTAATTAATATAGACCTATTTACAACTAAACTGTCTTTTTGCATAAATGCAGTAGTAAACACATTCCATTTTACCCTACTTACCCAATCTTCAGATATATAATCCCCAAACAGAGGAAAATGTGAAAAATCCAGCGACGCGTTTTCCTGCTCATGTTCAACCTGTACTTTGTTAATAGACTGTGAAATGATAGTAGTCTCCTGATGGGTAGCCTAACTGGTGGACGCGAGGCTTTATCACAAGCAAAGCAAGTCCTTGTAGGGATGCAAAACTCCGTGAAAACTTGACGTGAACACCTGAGCTGATATCCTCTGGGACGTGCGGAGATGAATGTTATTCTGCATATGTACAACTTCTGTATCACTTTTACGCGTCTCGATTAACTACCCGGTTTTACACTCACAGCACACTTTCCAGCAGATCCTTTATCTGTTAAATCTATCAAGGTGTGCTCTGGAGGAAATTAAACGTTCCGATATTCCTTTATACGTCTGTGCGCTCCTGAAGCCGAGTAGCAGGTTGATAACGCGACTAATGACTTCAAAACACACCACGAGCACGCGTTCAACCAAACAACACGCATGCATAGAAGTAGCCTACGGTGTGTAGGGAGGTAAAAATCTGATTTGAGATACGACAGCCGAGTAATAAGCGACAGACGTGTCACTACAATATGTATCTATACTCTATAGCTATAATACCATGATAAATCGAAGTAAGAAAGGTATATTCTCTGTGCGCTCTTTGGCGTAGATCATATCGCAGTAACTCCAGGCTCCAGCTTCTTAAACAGAGCTTTTATCTATTTTCCTGCACCCGTTTGCTCCTCCCATGAGAAAAGAAAACTTGCTCGACTTTAGATTCCCCCCTCACCCACCTCAAGTCCTTAATTGCGAGGTGAGAGATGTGTTCATCTAGCCTATCCACCTTCCAAAACAAAGATGTCAAAGAACCATGTGTACTCCGGGACCAAGAACAGGACAGCACATATTAAAACAGCAAAATGAAACACAAACTTTTAAACTCTGTAAGGTTTATTAATATGAATAGACGCAATAGAAAGTTAGATGAAATGTTCATAACTGAAAGGTCATTCCAAGAAAAGTGTCCCTTATTAGAACGCAAGCAATGACTTTTAACAGTAGCTCATATTATCTTTCCACATCAACAAATCATGCTACCTTCATAATTTATCTTTAAAATAAAGAACAAGTCCTTAAATTAGAAAAGAATAATTAAAAAACGTCATGAATTCTTTAGTGCGTCTTTTTTATTATTACATTTTCCCTTTTTGGGGTTTGCCAGACACAATCTGAAAATGTCAGCTATTTTAACATGACTTTTGATAATCATGAAAACTAGGTATTTGTAGATATAAGGATAGAAGCGGCCAAATTAACTCAGTCATCTCTACTACTAAAGGCATATAGTTGTATTCCAACTTATATATACATATTTAAGTTTAGCTTGAGAAGGCCCAACACAATTTATTAACTTGTATTTTATTACTTAATATGAATATTAAATAATTATAATAATTCGTTTATCTGACTGAAATGAAAATGGTTCCTGTTTAGTGAAATGATCCGGATAACTTAAATCATTGTGCCTGGTTATTGTTAATACAATTTTTGTCTATAATACTGCAATTAAACTTTGACATACCAGTTCATATTTTTGTCCATGACTAGATTTATAAGATCAATGGAGCACTGACAGTCATAGGTTTTAAGAGTGATCATT